GAAGTCTAGAACGTATAAGATGAATGTGTAAATAACAGAACTATGGCACATGGCAAGCCTGATGTGCTTCACAGAAAGGTTGGCAAGGTCCCTCATGGTATGTAGTTCTCGTAACTGTTTGTTGATGCAACACCAGGTCACCAACAACTGTTTCTTAAGCAGAATGTGGATACCTTAAATAAGTACATGTTCTGCATGAGAAATGGTTGTTGGTGGCCAGATGGATTTTATTTTTTGTGGAACTTCATCAGTAAAGCATTAAGAGAACTCCATGCTAGGTGTGCCCTTTCTAACCTTTCTGTGAAGTATCTATGTTACTCAACCGTGACAAGCGAGCACCGAGATGTGCTTACATGAACGTAATGGGAGCTGTAGGACACAGTCTTATGAGGCAAGGTCTCTGAAAGATTAATCTGCCTTTCCCTCGAGCAGTGCTGTGAGTGCCATGCATATTCTTGCTATTACATACTGATGCACAAACTGCCCTGAATGCAAGTGCTCACCAGTGACAAGAGGCCTCAGCAGGAGTTGATGTCAGTGAATGTTAAGGTAAGATTATTTACTAAAGTTAAATATGGTGTTCACTCTGTAAAGAAAGATGCACTTTGCATAGGAATTTTGCCCAGACCTCAGTGACATTTCACTTTGCAAAGAATAACCAACCACATGCAAAGTACATTAAAAAAAGGAATTGTTTGCACATGATTGGATGATGGAAATCAGCAGAGCTTCACCTCATTTACTAAGCTCTGGGGAACTTTCCCATGCAAAGTGAAACTTCACTTGTAAGGTGAACAATCTATTTGCCTTTAGTAAATCAACCCTGAAATATAAATAAACCCTAACAATGAACTGCTTATATTTTGCTCCATTTTAGTTTGTTAACTGCTTGCCGACCTCCCTACAGCAGAAATACTGCTACATTGCAGCACTGGTGTGCAAAATCACATATGTATATTTTGCGGCCGCGGCTGTAAATTACCGGGCACCAGCTGGTAATTACTCACTGGCGCCCTGTGATTTCCGTGCCTCTCCGATGGGGAGGACGACTGTTTTGTTTACTGAAAAGTCCTCTTCCCTGTCAGCTCGGGCACACTGCTGTGGATGGCTGTGCATAGCACAGCCATCCACAGCAGTGTGATTACAGTGAATCACACACATCCCGCCCCCTAGTAAAACACTCCCAGCACACAGTTAACCCTTTGATCTCCCCTCATGTTAACCCCTTCCTGCCCAGTGCCATTAGTACAGTTTCAGTGCTTTTTTTTTTTTTAGCATTGATCACTGTATTGGTGTCACTGGGGACGTCAGTGACAACAAGTCCGTTCCCCCCCAGTGTCAGAATGTCCGCTGCAGTCCCACAGTCCCACTATAAGTCGCTGATCACCGCCATTACTAGTAAAAAAAAAAAAAAACAACAAAATCCCAGTATACAGTATATACCGCATTTGTAAATGCTATAACGTTCACGCAAACCAATTAATTTACATGTATTGGGATTCTTTTTTATCAAAGACATGTAGCAGAATACATTTTTGGCTAAATTTATGATGAAATTTGATTTTTAAAATTTTTTTACTGGACATGTTTAATAGCAAAAACTAAAAAAAAATTGTTTTTTTCTCAAAATTGTCTTTTTTTTTTTTTTATAGCGCAAAAAATAAAAAAAAAACGCACAGGCGATCAAATACCACCGAAAGAAATCTCAATTCATGGGGAAAAAAAAGAACGTAAATTTGATTTGGGTGCAGTGTTGTATGACTGCGCAATTGTCAGTTAAAGTAATGGAGAGCCGTAACACAAAAAATGGCCTGGTCAGGAAGGGGGGTAAATCCTCTGGAGGGCAAGAGGTTACATATACCACTAAAAGTGTTCTGTTATATTTGTTTGAAAAGTGTAAAAATACCTGTAGATCCTGCAAGAAATCTTGTTATAACTTTCCATGTTCTCTTCCTGTGCTGCGCTGTTCTCAATTTCCATCGTTCGGAGGACTACAGGGCCCTGTCTAGTGTCACCCTAGGACTGGGAATGCGTTACTGGGAGAATTACCAGATGAAAAGCAAACAAAGTGAAAAAAAGCCTGAAAAAAAAAACTAAAGCAGCCACTACCTATCCAAGGACCAGTAGGCTGCAATATATTACATTTTGTTTTGGCATTTAGATACACTTTAATTGTCAGTGGAAAGCACAGCCCTCTCACAGTGAGACAGGAGAGGAGAAAGGCAGCAGTGACAGATGAATGAAAGATGAGAGAGAGCAGAGAGCCAACATAGCAAGCACAGTGTGCAGGCAAACAACTGGTCTGGAGGGAGGTGGAGGAGACACAAATACTTTAACACACAAAATAGGAAAGAGAGGGGCAGAGTGTAAATGTAAGTATAGAATTTGTGGTTTTGGATAACTGACCATTATTCCAGTTGTTGGCAGGCTTCACTATGTACAGTTCAATAAAAACACCTGACAATAAACATTGGGCTTTCCATATAGTTTAGCATTACACAGTGCTATAAAAGTCATCATCTGCAATATAAAAATAACTAAATGTTCATACATTAGGAAATAATACTTACAGCCATTACCTCAATTCATTTATCAAAAAGGCTATCTGCAAAAACACGTTTCACGAAAAAAGCTTAACCATAATGATAGAAAAACATAAATGAAAAGTAGTGATTATGAGCATACACTAGCTCACTGCTTGCAGTTGACAAGTGCAATGTTTGCAAATTCACATTATGCTCTTACGAAGCATAAAAACAGAAATCACACGCATACAAAAAATAAGTAATAAGAAAACTCCATGGGAGATTTTTGATTTTTCCAACATATCTGAACAGGCAAACATTAGATCTCCATTCAAATGGCACCTACAGGTAAATATGAAATACCGGTACTTGAACAAATTACATATAAAATTGACATGGTGTATAAATTCTCAATCTAAATTACCAATAATGCAAACTTGTCATATAGAAAAATAAGTACACCCCTACATACAGAACCTCTTTAGGAAGCATGCAGTAGGAAAACTGTTATATTTAAAACTCAGATTTCTAGGATTTGGTCTTCTCTATTGATGGGTGTGCTGTCATCATGCCAATATCAAAACCAATTTCCAAGGTCCTCAGAAAGAAGGTTGTAAATTAGTCTGGCAATGGTTTGAAAATATCACCAAAAATTTAAAATCAATCAACATTCCATTGTAAGAATAATAATCTAAAAATGGTGCAGATTTCTAACGAATATTAATTTCTCCAAGACTGCATATTTATCTCGAGAGTTGACAGCTTATAAAGGCCTCCAAGAACCCCAACATTTCCTCTTGAGATCTGTGGGTCACTCCTGGGGCAGTTGGTGTCAAAGTGCATGCATCTACAATCAGAAAGCAATTGCACCACTTTAACCTGCAAGGGAGATGTGCCAGGAAAAATCCTTTGCTGTCTAAATAGTATATTAAAGCAAGACCACAGTTTGCCATTGAAAATATTTGCATAGACCAGGCTTTCTGGAACAATGTGCTATGAACTGATGAATCAAGGATAGACTTTTCTGGCCACGGTAACAGTAGACATGTTTGGTGAAAACTAAAGATGGCATTTAAGGAGAAACACCTTACAACAGCTTTGCCGGTACAGAGCCTGGACATCTTGCAGTCATAACAACTATGAATTCTGCATCATATCAAAGTTTAGTTGGTGAGAATACAAGACCATCTCCCTCAAAACAGAATCAGTAATTGATATTTCAACACAATCCACCAGGAAATGGCTCAGAAAGGAGAAACAGAGGATCATAGACTGGCCTTGTCAAATCCCTTTTGGAATAACATTGAAATGTTGTGAGAGGATTTGAAACAGGCAGGTAATGAAAGGAAACCCACAAGCATCTTGAGATTGAAGACATTTTGCATAGAGAAGGGGTTGATGTTAGTGACTGGTGGGCAGTAAAACACCTGCAAGAAGTCATATCTGTTAAAGGGGCAATACCAACTTCTAAGGTCAGGGGTGTACTAGATTTTTCCACATTACATCTATTGAAATTATTTGTTGAATAAATGTTTAATAAAAACATAAGGAAAAATTGTTTTTTTCAGAGCAGTGGTCTCCAAACTTCCTAAGCAAAAAGCCATTTTCCAACCCCCCCAGACTTTAGGGGGCCGGACTGTGGCCAGTTGGAGTAGAAAATGTCTTGGCCTTGTCTTGTCTTGGGAGTAACGAATGCCCCTTATTTAGTATTAAAGGGAGTTATAGTGCCCCAATGTTGGTGTCAGTGGGAGGAATAGTACCCCATCATTGGTATCAGTGGGAGGAATAGTGCCCCATCCTTGGTGTCAGTGGGAGGAATAGTGTCCCATCATTGGTATCAGTGGGAGGAATACTGCCCCATCATTGGTATCAGTGACAGGAATAGTGCCCCATCATTGATATCAGTGGGAGGAATACTGCCCCATCATTTGGTGTCAGTAGAAGGAACAATGCCTTATTGTTGGTGTCAATAGAAGGAATACTGCCCCACCATTGGTGTCAATGGGAGTAAAAGGGTCCCATCAATGGTGTCAGTGGAAGGAATAGTGCCCCATCCTTGGTGTCAGTGGAAAGAATATTGCCCCATTATTAGTGTCAGTGGGGAAGAATAATGACCTTTTGTTGGTGTCAGTGGCAGAAAGTATGCCCTATTTCTGATACAAGTGGGAGGAATAGTGCCTTTTTATCAGTAAAGAATGGTGCTCCAAGGGCTGGATAAAGATAACCAAATGGCCACATGTGGCCCCCGAGCTGGAGTTTGGAGACCACTGTGTTTGAGTATATCCTCTTCATATGTAGGCACTGTTTAGTTGAAGATCTAATGGTTTACTTGTTCAAATATATTGATAAAGTCAACAACGTCCCTGGGGTTTACTTACGTTTTCACATGACCGTATACAGAAAAGGTCAAAAACTGAACCCTTTGACAACTTGGCTTCTTGATATGCGAGGAGGAAGAGGGAGGATAACCCATAATTAGTGAAATGTCCATTCTTTATTTTCCTCTGTAGCTTTACTGTAGGATTTTTTCCAGCTTTGCAGAAATGGCTTAGATGAGCTGTGTTTCCGTTCCTGTGCCAGAGAGGGCAATAGTGACAGTGCAGAGCCATGTGTCTGCTCTCTTACCTGCATAATAAATACAGCATATACTTAAGGAAAGTTTTTGAGGTCCTGGACTCACACACACCCTCATTTCTGTTTTTTATCATTTTGCAAATTGCTAAATTGGAAAGGGAAACATGTATGATGATGTCTGGAAGGGTTTTCATTCAAGGTATGGTATATAGTTAGAAGTAGTTAGTTACATGCAACTTGTTTGTAACTACATAGAAACCCCTCTCCGGATACTCTGTTACAGCAATCTCCCACCACTTGTCAACCCCCTGTGTCATGTGACAGTGTTTGGTCATAGTGATTGGTTGATAGATACAAGCACATGGGAGGAGGTCACATCCACATTCAGGTCCATTCACAAAAATGGCAAGATGTTAGGCACCACTTGTGAGCAACTTCATGGTTGGTGAAGCAACCATGAGCTTACACCCTTCGAAAACTCTGCCACTGTAAGGATCACAGAGTTGGCCTGCTGCAAGCAGTTCTGCTCCACTGTAACCCTGGCGTTGGTGGCAATAAACGGGTTAATCCTATAGTGTCAGGGCAGGGCTGTGGAACGGACAGGTAGGCCTAGTGGCAGGGTAACGCACTGACTGACGACAACCACCCACCAACAGACCGAAGTCCCTCAGGGCGCGGAGTCTAAGTCCCAGGCTGCCCTTCACCAGGGCCCCTGATGGTGGGGATGGACTTGACGCAGCCAGGAACCCGGTCGCGGCCAACGAGACACCCCAGCTGCAGTAATGGCCGCCAATGGCGTGAGCTGGTAGGAATGACAATAGCGTAGTCAGGCAGGCCGGGTCGACAACAACGGGACAAAACAGTAGCCAGGAACCAGGTCGCGGACCCCGAGACACCCCGGCTGCGGTAATGGCCGCCGCCAACAGCGTGAGCTGGTAGGAATGACAATAGCATAGGCAGGCTGGGTTGACAACAACAGGACAAAATGGTACAGAACAGTAGACAAGTCAACTGTCAACTGATGATATCATTGGTTGTCTGGACGCCGGCAGTTAGAAGGTAGTTTTGGTGCACAATGAAAACCTGTGGCTGTGTGTAACTAAAAGGTAGGCTTGATCCACCTGCTGGCTTGTATACAAATTTTGGGCAATTTTTAGACATTTTGCCAAGGCACCCCTGCAGAAACACCAAGGCACCCTGGTTGAGAAAGGCTGGTTTAGAGTGGGGAGGGGGGTATTGTTTAGGGTGGAGAGGGGGATTATTGTTTAGGGTGGGGAAGCAGGGAGGGGGGTATTGTTTAGGGTGGAGAGGCAGGGAGGGGGTATTGGTTAGGGTAGGGAGGTGGGGGGTTAGGGTGGGGAGGGAGCTTATTGTTTAGGGGAGTGAAGTGGGTTATTGTTTAGGGCGGGGAGGGGGTCTTTGTTTAGGGCGGGGAGGGGGTGAAGGAGTTGTGTAAACAGCAGATTAGGACTCAATGAAGGGGGTTTTTGGGAAATGGTGGGGGGGGGGGAGGGGGCACCCACTTATTTACAGTCCTCAGTACTGGATGTAGTGGTGGAGACTTCACAAGCACTGCTCTTCCTCCATATTCTAATGTGGAGCGATGAATGGGAAATGCAGGAATAAAGGGGGGGGGGGGAGTAGGGGTATTTAGGGTTTGGGAACTCCACAGCTGCCAATCACTGCCCAACACTACAACACTCAGCAGACCCACCCTCCCCCTTAAAAGAAGTTCTGCCAAGCTGGGAGAGTTGTCAGAGGCAGGAGGAGCTTGGCTCAGGGCAGGACACCTTGGCACCAAGCAGAACAGATTCACCCGACAGCCGCCCAAAGAGGGGAGGAAAACAGCTCGGGAAGAGACTCCGACTGAGCTAAGGGGAAGGGGCTGGATGGGTCCGACACAGGAGGGGCGGGACCAGTAGAGAGGACACAATGCGGGATACTTAACCCCTACCAGCTGAGTATCATGTATGGGTGCCGTTTGTGTTGGAACACAGTGAACACCCTGCACCCATGGATAATACGCCACTGAGCAAAATAAATGTTCATGGGGTGGAAGTGCCTCCAAAAGTCTTGTATGCATAGATGACTAAAAAAAAGCTTGTCATAGTTGGTCTGACTCAGAAACAAAAAATGCACTGCCTATAGGAAGCTTTCATGTGTCAGTCATTGTGATATAATGATGGTGGTAGGCACGATATGACTCTCATAGACCCCAATGCAGGGTAAGCAGAGGCAATAAATTACTCTTAGGGTCTAGTTAAGTTACATATTACCAGTTACTCCACCTTCACAAATGAAATGTGTTTTATATTGTTGTTAGACCACAGTTCTGTTCTGTTGGTAAACCTGTAAATTGTATAATATAACAAAATTGCACCTTGCAATGCCTGCATTAAATATTTCCTGTGTCCCTGTGCAGCCCCTTGGATCCTAGGCCCAAGGCTGTACCCTGACTTCAGCCCAAGTCAAGCTTAATCCTCAGCCCCTCCAACACTAAACTCTGCCTCCTCCTATTCTACTAAAAAAATATCACACTTCAGTTGGCAGTAGAGCCTCTGGCATGTTACAGCTGAATTATAAGGGCAGATTTATTATCAACATGGACAGACATTGAGGCACCATGTACACTAAGATCCAAGGGTGAACTAGATGGGATAGATTTGAAGGCTAACATAAGAACTTGATTTATTCAACATCTGCTCAAGTAACATGGATACTCCGGTTTCCTCCCACACTCTAAAGACATGCTGGTAGGTTAATTGGATCCTTTCTAAATTGGTCGTAGTATGTGTATGTATGGATGTGAGTTAGGGACCTTTGTACATGCCTTGAGGGTTAGGGACTGATGTAAATGTACAAAATATATGTAAAGCTCTGCGTAAATTGACAGCGCTATACAAGTACAGTGGCTAAATGGTTAGCACTTCCGCCTAGCAGAACAAGGGTCGTTGGTTCGAATCCCAACCACGGTACCACCTGCCTGGAGTTTGCATGTTCTCCCTGTGCCTGTGTAGGTTTCCTCCCACACTCCAAATACGTGCTGGTAGGTGAATTAGCTCCTGTCTAAATTGGCCCTAGTATGTGTATGCATGAATGTGAGTTAGGGACCTTAGATTGTACACCCCTTGAGGGTTAGGGACTGATGTGAATGTACAATATATATGTAAAGCACTGCGTAAATTGATGATGCTATATAAGTATATGATTTACTGTATTTCAGTTGTACAGGTCCTCTGCATTCAGGAATGTATAATTTGAAGGGTCTATAACCACTTGATGCCAAATCACGTACATGTACGTAATTTGGCATTAAGTGGTTGTGCCAGGATGATGTCTGCAGCTTCAGGCATCATTCCAGTACCATTTTTTAGAGCAGACGGTCAGCTCTCTTGTAAAGGCGATCCAAGTGGCTAACTAGCCACTGTACTGCTATTACAAACAGCGGGAGGGGATATCCTTCCTCTCCCATCATCTTCCACAGCTTTAAAGGGCTTGTCCCATCCTACTGGGACACCCGATCAATCAGCCAGCGCTTCTGCCAGCTGAGAAAGAGTGGAACCTGCTCCATTTGGCTCTATGATATAGGAAACTGCAAGTTATGACCTTACATCCCTTCCAGTTTACCCAGATGTAGGCCGGCACTAATTCTAGCACCAGACCTCCTCTGTAAATCTAAAGTGGTAACCTGCAAAGGCTTTTAAAGTGTTGCCTATGAATAGTAAAGTTTATCGCCATATGCCGCTGTTGCATGGGCGTGCACAATTTTAAAGAATGACATGTTTGGTATCTATTTACGCGGTGTAACATCATCTTTTATATTTTACCAAAAATTGGGTTATGTATTGTGTTTTTTTGCATTAATATTAAAAAAAGTGTATTTTTTCCAAAAACGTTGTGTTTGAAAAACCACTTTGCAAATACCACGTGACATAAAAAATTGCAACACCCACCAATTTATTCTCTAGGGTCTCTGCTTTACGAAATATATAAATGTTTGGGGTTCTAAGAAATGTTCTAGCAATAAAATACATGTTACATGTAAACAAAAAGTGCCAGAAAAGGCCTGGCCTTCAAGTGGATAATGAATATTCAAGTCCATTATATGCATTTTATTGCGCATGTGAAAAAAGAGCAATTGGTCAAGCATACCACTTTGGATCAAACCAGAAGTGAATTCTAGAAAGACACAAATAATTGAAAACATGGCTGTGATTTCAATGCATACTAACAATTATCAGCATTCTTACCTGTTTAAAAAATGGATGAGACAGCAACATGCCAGCTGATGGTCTGGATAATAAAGAAAGGAAAAAATTACAAATTGATTTGGTTATATTTTTATTATTGAATGTATTTATATAATATGGATATTTTCTGAATGGCACAGGAATCCTTTCCCTGCCCCAGAGACATCCTGATAGCAATAGTTCTCCTCTAACTTGCTCTTTTTGGGGAACACAGAACCATTCACATAAGGTTGTGCATCAAGCATTACTACCAAAGTCATACATGCCCTATAACCATCTTGTCAGAAGCCAGGTAATCTACCAGCATGTTTCTGGATTTGTGGAAAACTGGACATCCTAGAATAAAACCCTTGTAAATCTGGACAGATTGTACTAATTACATGAGGATACTTCACCTACTGGAAGCTGAATCTGGGACCCCAGAGCCAATCAGTAGGAAAATGTGCCCATAACTTTTCCTTTTCATTTTCAGACTTTGTTATCAATGGTAATGTGAAACTTTTTTAAAAGGCTTTCATTATGTTAAGACCTAAAAAAAACCTCTCATACAAGCTTTTAAAATTCTGGACTTTGAACAGATGTAAAGAAAAGACTGCAGATAGACAGGTACAACTGATGGAGTATTTGTTTTATCGCTGTGTATCACCTGAGGCTAGTCACTTCACTGGGTATATGTAAGAGTTTACATCGACTGCATTCTTCGCATTAAGGTAAAAAATGTCCCAGTAATTGTATTGCTCCCTCGCCTCCATAAATACCTGCCTAAGTCCTATCTTGATCCATTGCTTTGCCCGTCTACAATGGCGCTTGTCTTTGCCCCTCCCCTCTGGCTGCATGGATAGCAATGGGAGCCATTGGCTCCTGTTAATGGCAGTCAAATCCTGTTAGAGAGCAGGGGAAGGGGCTATGGATGTACACAGCCTCGCTCAGGAGCGAGCCCGCATATCTGCCCCCATAGCAAGTGGCTTGCTATGGGGGCAGATTCAGAAGAGGAGGAGTGGAGAGCGCCGGTGGGAGACCGCAGAAAGGAAGGCTCGGGGCTGCTCTGTGCAATGCCATTGCTCAGAGCAGGTAATTATAATGTTTATTATTTTAACCACTTGCCCTCCAGAGGATTTAACCCCCTTCCTGACCAGGCAATTTCTTGCGATACAGCGCTGTGTTATTTTAAGTGACAATTGCACGGTCATGCAACACTGCACCCAAATGAAATTTATGTCCTTTTTTTCCCACAAATGGAGCTTTATTTCGGTGGTATTTGATCGGCTGTGCGTTTTTTTATTTGTTGCACTATATAAAAAAAAATAAAAAAATAAAATTTTGAAAAAAAAACAAAGCAATATTTTTGACTTTTTGCTATAAAACATATCCAGTAAAAAAATAAAAAAAAATGAAATTTCATCATAAATTTAGGCCAAAATGTATTCTGCTACGTGTCTTTGCTAACACAAATCCCAATACATGCAAATTAATTGGTTTGCGTAAACGTTATAGCATCTACAAATGGCGGTATATATACTGGAATTTTTTTTTCTCTTTATACTAGTAATGGCGGCGATCAGCAACTTATAATGGGACTGTGGGACTGTGGTGGGCATTCTGACACTGGGGGGAACCAACTGCTCCTGATATCCCCAGTGACACTAATACAGTGATCAGTGCTAATAAAAAGCACTGACACTTTACTAATGACACTGGGCAGGAAGTAGTTAACATCTGGGGCAATCAAAGGGTTAACTGTGTGCTGTTTTACTGTTTTGTATGTGAGTGTTTTACTATGTAAGCATGCTGCATTGTATTGCTCTGCTATGCAGAGTAAGACAAAGCAGGGTGCTGGTGCTGACAGGGGAGAGATCTGTATTGTTTACATACAGACCTCTCTCCTGTCAGTGTTCCTCAGCGGTCGCTGGGTGCCAGTGGGGAATCTCTGACCAGGACCTGGTGATCAACAGCTGTAGGCGCCAATGGAGGTGCGTGCATGCCCCCTACCTGGAAATACAAAATCACATATCTATACACACACATGATTTTGCGCAGCCCTGCTGCCCTGTAGCAGTAGTTCTGCTATAGGGCGGTCGGGAAGAGATTCATTAAAAACAAAATATGTTATACTTTACAATCACTTTAATAGACAAAAAATATATAAAGGAATGCGCTAAATACCAAATCACATGAAAATGCAGATAAATACATAAAATAAAAATATATATTTATAAATGTCCGTAATTCATATATAAGCCCTATCCTACACGTTTCGTCATGCCGCCCCTTGAAGACGTCTGGTGACGAAACACGTAGGGTGTGCTTAGTGGATGGGACATCAGGACGCTCCTCGAGACTGTCGGCTGTGATCGCGGTGAGCGAGGCTCATCCCTGCTTTAGCTTTTTGAGACTGATATTGCTGATATTGCTGGTGTCGGTTGGACACCTTTCTTGTGAGTGCATATTTAAGGCTAAAATATAAATTATCTTTGTTTTAATATACTGCACCATGATACTCTTCTTTGATTCCCGGAGCATTTCCAAAGTTATGAAGGCATGATGACCACTTGCAGTTAAGGCTGTTCCATGTGTGCTGATTTGGCTGATTGCAGTCTATTGCTCCTGGATACTCCAACAGATCATCGTTCCCAGAGCAATTGCTATTTTTGCTGATTTATAATTTGATCAGCAAATAACTCTGGTGAGTTTACCCATTTCATTCGGTGGTGGATTTTGCTACACAGTGTTTTTTCTTGTTTAAGAGATTTTTTAATCACTTATATTGGTGTTTGGATATATGAATTATGGACATTTATAAATATATTTTATTTATGTATTTATCTGCATTTTCATGTGATTTGGTATTTAGCGCACTCCTTTATATATTTTTTGTCACTTACCTTTTCTTTGGTTAGGTTTGCAGCTTTTTTATATAATTTATTGGCGCTGTGTCTATATATTTTACAATCACTTTAATAGGCCAAATATTGACCTATTCCCTCTAGCTCTGCATGCCATATCCCTTAACCGTTTCAATACCGTGCAATTTTACACCTTCCTGCCCAGGCCATTTTTCAGGTTTCAGCGCTCTCACACTTTGAATGACAATTGCGCGGTCATACAACATTGTACCCAAACTAAAATTTTATCATTTTCTTCACACAACTAGAGCTTTCTTTTGGTGGTATTTAATCACCGCTGGGGTTTTTTTATTTTTTGCTAAATTAACAAAAAAAGACCAAAAATTTTGAAAAAAAACCACATTTTTCTTTGTTTCTGTTATAAAAGTTTACAAATAAATAATTGTTCTTCATAAATTTAGGCCGAGATGTATTCTGCTACATGTCTTTGGTGAAAATAACCCAAATTAGGATGTATTATTTAGTTTGTAGGAAAGTTATAGAGTTCACAAACTATGGTATAGATCTGAATATTGATCAATCCTGAAGTACTGACAGCCAATCTAATTTCTTGAGGTCCAAGAATGTCAGAATAGTACAGATATCCCCAAATGACCCCTTTTTGCTGAGTAGACAGTCGGACGTACTTCATAAGAGGCATGGCGAGTTTTTTTGAAGTTGTATTTTTTTGTCATAATTTTTCCGAAAATGAAAAAATGAAAAATATTATTTTCACTATTTTTTTTTTTTACATACTGTCACCAGTGCAGTACAGCGTCATCATATAACTGGCATGGCGGTGAACAGGGACACTGACTGGTGACAGTATGAAAAAAAAAAAAAATTATATTTTTTTTTAATTTTTTTTTTATTTTTTTATTATATTTAATTTTTTATTACATTTTTTTTTTATTTTTTTTAAGATTTTTTTTTTTCATATTTTACTATGACCAAAATAGTACAATGTTACCATAGTAACATTGTACTACTTTGGGGAAGTGATCAGTATTTTTTTTTTTTTTTTTTTTTTTACACAATTTGCTTATAGCAAAGAATTACTTTGCTATAAGCAAGCATTTACTGAATGAAATCGATTCATTCACCTTTTTTTTTTTTTTTTTTTTTTTTTTGTGCTTAGCTGTGATTTGGTCACAGCTAATCACATGACATGTGCATGTGATTAGCTGTGACCATTCACAGCTAGGCACTAGTATACAATGGATGGCATCATGAATGAAGCCATCCATTGTATACAACTGTCATGTGACCTGCTGTGATTGGTCGCGGCAGGTCACATGGTACCGGCAACGGGAGCCGGTACTCGGATCTGTCATCGGCCGTGTCCGAGGTGCACGGGCGGTGACAGATCCCGCTGCTGCGCCGCTCTGCAATAGCGCAAACGGCGCATGTGCGGGAGCACGCCAAATGGCGTGGACCCGGAAAGCTGCAGCGCTTTTCAAGCCGCCAAACGGCTATTGGCCGGGCGGCTAATGGTTAAAGTTAAAGATTTTAAAAATGTGGCTAAGCTAAACTGAATGAATTAAACTTTCAAAACCATTATATTATAGATTGCCTCAGAACAATGTCAGATAAGTTAGGACATGTACTGTTAACATTACAACATTAGGTATTATAAGCAACCTAAAATCATATACTGTACCTTTTCTCAGGATCCTGTTGCAGGCAAATCTCCACTAAGTTCTGCAAGGCAGGTGAAAATGTTCTTGGGGATGGAGTCCTCAGCCTTTCACTAGTCATCGTCTGAGTCATGCTTGCAGCAACTACACTTTCTCCTATTCCTGAATCTACTCCAGACCGGGAGATCTTCATGGGGGACTGTTCACCAGGAAAAGTACCATAAAGAGGATTCTCAGGTGGACCTTTCAGCTTTTGTAGCAGCATCTTGCAAAAAGAGTAAAACATTTTAAGTTGTATAAAATACTTCCAGAACAACCATTTTAAACAAGGTACAGTATCTAAGAAAGTAAAAGTGTATGCACTAACAAAAAGCTTCTAATCTTTGGTACTTTTTGATTTGTTAAATATATCAATGAAAGCATTTTAGTGTGGGCTAAACTAAAATACAATACAACTCTAATGCTCCAGAAGGTGAGTCCTGTGGCTGGTAACACTTTATGCTGGTGCTGGTAGGGATGTAAGGCTGGTTAGGCTCAGCTTAGACTACAGGAAAATGGCACCCGGCCGCACACAGGATCAGTAGACTGTAAAGCTAAGAATTTTATTCAGCTTGGTTTTCCACTCATAGAAGAATCCCTCTAATGCATTTTGCCAATATGGTGCTTAATCATAGAGGTGTCTGTGGTTTCTTTGTTTATTTTTCTATGTGAGCCTCTATGATTAAGCCCCATATTGGTGAAATGCATTAGAGAAGTGTCCTCTATGGTTGGAGAACTGAGCTGAATTCCCATCATCTTTTACTATATTAACTTTGCAGTCTGCTGACCTTGTGTGTGGTCCGGTGACATTTTCCTGTAGAATTGAAAGTATGTATTTATATCTGTTTATTACGTTAAAAAAATCCTTTTGATCCAGACAGAAATCTTGTGAGAAGAACCACACTCATCAATATTATGAACAATGGGAAAGGATGGAGTTCTGTAGTGCTTTGTTGTTTCTCCAGATAAAGATAGGTGAATGAGTGTTGACATCCTAGGACTGGAAGATTGTTACTGGCAGAATCACCAGGTGAACATAAAGAAAAAAACTTGAAAAAAAGGGTAAATGCATGCATCCACCACATCTAAGGACTGGTTAATGCAATTTATTATTTTTGTGTTCAAGTTTTGATATACATTAAAATTTTCTCCCCTAATACAGTTGTGCTCATAAGTTTGCATACCCATGCAGAAACTGTGACAGATTGGCATTGATATTGAAAATATGACTGATCATGACAAAAAACAGTTTTTAAGGATAGTGATCATATGAAGCCATTTATTATCACATAGTTGTTTGGCTCCTTTTTAAATCATAATGATAACAGAAATCAACCAAATGCCCTAATGAGAAGTTTACATACCCTGGAATGTTTGGTCTTGGTACAGACACACAAGGTGACACACACAGGCTAAAATGGCAATTAAACGTTAATTTGCCACACCTGTGGTTTTTTTAAATTGCAATTAGTGTCGATGTATAAATAGTCAATGAGTTTTTTAGCTCTCATGTGGATGCACTGAGCAGGCTAGATACTAAGCCATGGGAAGCAAAAAAGAACTGTCAAAAAACATGCGTAACAAGGTAATAAAAAGATCTCCAAGGCCTTGAATATGGCAGTCAGTACTGTTCAATCACCTATTAAGAAGTTGAAAAATTAGGGATCTCCTGATACCAAGCCAAGGTCAGGTAGACCAAGAAATATTGCAGCCACAACTGCCCAAAGAATTGTTTGGGATACGAAGAAACACCCACAGGTAACCTCAGAAATACAGGTTGTTCTGGAAAAAGATAGTGTGGTTGTTTCAAGAAGCACAAAACGACAACACTTGAACAAATAGAGCTGTATGGTCAAGTTGCCAGAAAGAAGCCTTTACTGCACCAACACCACAAAAAAGCCTGGTTACAATATGCCTGACAACACCATGACACTCCTTACAGCTTCTAGCACCCTGTAATCTGGAATGACAAGAACAAAATAAAGCTTTATGGTTACAATTATAAGCGCTATGTTTGGAGAGGTGTCAACAAGGCCTATAACAAGAATACCATTCTCACTGTGAAACATGGTGGTGGATCACTGATGTTTTGGGGGTGTATGAGTTCTAAAAGCATGGGGAATCTTGTGAAAACTGATGGCAAGATGAATCCAGCATATTATCAGAAAATACTGGCAGACAATTTGCATTCTTCTGCAAGAAAGCAGCACATGGGACACTCTTGGACTTTCCAGCATGACAATGACCCTAAACATAAGGCTAAGTGGACCCTCCAGTGGTTATAGCAGAAAAAGGTGTTTCTTGAGTGGCCATCACAGTTTCCTGACTTTAATTTCATCAAGCCACTCTAAGAAGATCTCAAATGTGCAGTTCATGCAAGACGACCAAAGACTTTGCATGACCTGGAGGCATTTTGCCAAGACCAATAAGCAACTACACCACCTCCAAGAATTTGGGACCTCATTGACAACTAATACAAAAGACTGCACGCTGTCATTGATGCTAAAAGGGGCAATACACAGTATTAAGAACTAAGGGTATGCAGACTTTGAACAGGGGTCATTTCATTTGTTTACTTGTTGCTATGTTCTGTTTTGATTGTGCCATTCTGTTATGACCTACAGTTGAATATGAAACCCATAGGAAATCAAAGAAATGTGTTTTGCCTGCTCATGTTTTCTTTAAAAATGATACATACCAGGGGCGGACTGACAACTCATGGGGTCCCCGGGCAATAGGGGATCATGGGGCCCCTGTGTCCTTGCCCAAACTCAAAAAAGCCTTTGAAAAAGGTACCAGGGGCATCTCATGGGGCCCCTACTGATCCCGGGCCCTCGGGCAGTGCCCAAGTTTCCAAATGGTCAGTCCTGCCCTGATACATACTGTATATTGCCAATTCTCCAAGCCAAGGGTATGCAAATTTTTGAGCACAACTGTAAGCCTTTGTAATGTGCTTGTTTAATGTTGCAGCCCTTTGGCTACTGGGAAGTCCAGACATTTGAGACCAGCTCAGTAATAATCCTTGTTATAAAGATTCTACTATAGCATACTGTAAGTATCCTATTTGGATTCATGAGCTACTACTGGACAGGACTTCTCTGGCAACCATTGTAACTCAGCATATCTCAGTATCAAGCAGGTCCAGTCCTCACACAACCTTTTTCCCCTGCAAGGGGTTAGCACAGTAAGTTAATGCTGGTTACTTTTACTGCGGGTTGCTTAAAAATTCATCACTATTGCATATGCCTTCCACCATTCCAGTCAATGCTGAAAAAAGTATTTATGATCTCCAGTGTTGTATGATGCATTTATTGCTATGTAGAAATTGTATACACAGGACATGCAGTATCTGTGCAAAATGTACAACTGTCGGTTTTGAAACACACATATACATGTGCAAACGTGAGTGTCAGCATGTTACATACGGATAGCTGCGCATGTTATTTTCTGTAATAAATTTCAATGGGCAAAGTTATGCTGCAGCTGTGGCTCCTAAGTGCTACAACAACAAGCCTACTTTACTCTATATTCTTTTTTTGACAGCTGTACAAGTGGGGGTGCAGTCCTGAATGCAGACAGTGTGTGTTCAGGGCCATTAACCCGCATCCACATGGCTGTCAAATCCGGAGCAGCAGCTGTGTCAATGCAGCCAGAACACTTGTGAATCTCTCTGGGCAAACATGTAAATTATGGTACGCTTATGTGAATGAGGCCTTAAAGTGGCAAAAAAGGTTTGTATGCTGCTGGAGATCGTTTACTTGTTTAAGAAATGAAGCAATATAAAAAGGTAGGGTATAAAAACTGTATGTGCAAGTGTGTGTGTCACTTGCGGGTCTTTTAGAGAAATAATATAAGAATAAAAATATTTTATAACGTCAACATAAGATAAAGGTAGGGCAAAATGTAGTTCCACTAATAATTTTATCGGTTACCAATCTGATGAAAAAAATAACATAAATGTGGATAAGAGAGACGATAAAGAGTTACCTGAGTGCGGTGCATGTCCATGAATGGAACACGCCCAGTAGCTAATTCACAAGCAGTGATTCCAACACTGTAGATGTCTGACTTCACATTGTACCCATAAAGGTCCTATTTAATAAAATAAGATGTTATTCACAACATGCCAGCATCTGTGAGGTCTGTCAGCAAAACTATTGCACAGCTTTTCTATTCCTATACTACAAAATGTAAAATAGGTGTAACATGTGATGGATGTGTTATGATCACTTGCAGGGAAATAATTCTAAACTTGCATTCTAATTTCTAGACTACAGGTTCTAAACACCTATCCCCACTGGGGAGATTCACCCTCTCTAAGGCTGCATTCATACTTGAGCGTTTTGTAGCTTGAAGCTCCAAAAACGCACAAACTTATAAAATCAATTATTCTCTATGGAGCCTGTTTGCACGATCAGGTGTGAACAGGCACTATAGAGAACAACTGATTTTTTTCACAGTAAAATGCAATAATAAAGTGAGCGCTCTCTAGTCAGCAGCTAAAGCACTCAAGGCAACCAATATAAAACCTTGTCAGAAACATAAAATAAAAAAGTGCAGAGCTAAAATCATCAAAAGTATAATGATTGTCTGTCCAATAAAAATTATCAATAAAATTAAATTCAGTGCCCAGGATATTGTAAAATGAAGGTGACAGTCTATGCAAATAGATGGTGCGGAATCACAATAAAATCCAGTAGTGGTGCTCCAAATAGTGTGGTAAAATTACGCACTCACCAGATGCGTAATGTAAATACGCATATAGAAATCAGTAATGGTCTCCTTTATGGATCTGGTCTGGGACAAGGATAATCCTCCTCTAGGTGGATGGTGTTGTCAGTGGGTGGAAGAAGCCGGCCTTTTAGTTACACAAAGCCACAAGTTTTCATTGTGAACCATTACAACCTTCTAGCAGCCAGCCTGATGCTGGCGGCTAGAAGGTTGTAATGGTTCACAATGAAAACCTGTGGCTTTGTGTAACTAAAAGGCCGGCTTCTTCCACCCACTGACAACACCATCCACCTAGAGGGAGGATTATCCTTGTCCCAGACCAGATCCATAAAGGAGACCATTACTGATTTCTATTATGCGTATTTACATTACGCATCTGGTGAGTGCGTAATTTTACCACACTTTTTGGAGCACCACTACTGGATTTTATTGTGATTCCGCACCATATATTTGCATAGACTGTCACCTTCATTTTACAATATCCTGGGCATTAAATTGATTTTTTAAGTTTGAGCTTTTTTGGATCTTCGAGCTTCAAGCTACAAAACGCTCAAGTGTGAATGCTGCCCAATTGTCCTGGCCACTGAAACAGAAGCTGATCGGATACTCACAATTTACAATTTCTCAGTGATCACTGCAAAAGAAGGTTAAGCAAACCCCCCAATGGGGACACCTGTTCTGGTGTTAACTGTGTCAACCATTAGTTTGAAGTGATATCCTGATGTGTCTCTGAAAAAGGAAATAAGGGAAAGATCTGCAATGGAACACAGACATCAAAAAAGGAAACTAGCAGGGGTTAACCATTCCCCACTCTATCCAAAACAAATAAAAACGTTCTGGCTAGAAATACTATACCAGGAGAAGGCTGTTAAGCTCTGAAACGATTTACATAATATAAATGTAATGCAGTTTAATGCTGAACTCCAGGCAGATGCATATAAAGACACAAATTATGCGTCTGTATTCAGCAATACATGAGTTTTTATTTAATGTAAACAGTGCGGGTATCTGAATTTAACTTAATTTAAAAGGTTTCAGCCTTTTGCAGTTCTCTGGACAGCAGAACTTAAACTAGAAGAGGGAGAAGCAGCACAAGGAGTCAGTTGGGTGTGCTGCAGTAGAAGGAGCATGTTGATAGGAAAAGCAGCAGAATGAGAAGCTCTTTACTGGTCACATGGTGGGGGAAGGACAAGACCTATACAGTATGTGGTAATTAACTGCAGTAGAGAAAAATATGACCCCCCTACCCAGCCAGACTGGATTGTGCCATGTGGCAGAGCTGTGCAAAACTCCGGACTGGAGAGACAGAAACATCAATCTATTTGTTGGTAAAAAAGTCCACATAAAGTACGTTTCCCTTGAGTTCAGCTTTAAGTAAAAACCAGAACCATTTCTGTTAAGGACAGATACTTACCATCTATGTGTCCCAAAGCATCTGACTACTACATGTGCATAATATAAATGTTTACATCTCTACGATTTTCTCTTTAGCATGTCATAGCAGACATAGTATGTATACATAAATACAAAAGCTCCATTTCCATAACATAATAGTAAGTTTCCCTTTTCTGCTTCTACATATGCAGTGCTGTCAGTTACTTTGATGTAGTGAAAAGACATGCCAAGTTTGTATAAGTACTGATTACTAGACCACTGGTTTTGCTGCTGTGCCATTAGGAAAGCTAGATTTAACTGGCCATAGGTAATGATTGACCTTTTAACTGTTTTACCTTATTGGGTCTCTTTTTTTTTCTGCCAGCTGATCGGCTGAGAACAAAATGGTAGCATAAAATACCATTGGCCAGCATAGGATAACCCCACCCACAACCATCATGCCTCAGTATTTACCTAGTATCCTCAGGAGAGTGAAAGTGTTTTCTTCAGCTCTGCAGCTGCAGGTAAATTAATGCTGGATATGTTTAATTCTAGAAATCTCTCCCGTTTGGTAAATTCATGCCGGATATGTTAAATCCTGAAAGTGTCCTTAGTCAGATCTTGTGCCACAGCCACCATTGTTTATCTTCTACTTCACTCCTTCACCTTCCCAGGATCTTAGTGGGTTTGGTAACATTACAGCCTGGTGAGGAAGTTTTCTGCATAGTTCCTTCTATATTTCCCCAACGATTTCCCAGCCGTTTATGGCACTGCAAGGCTTACGTTGCCAAGTCAAATTTCCACTGTTTTCTCTTAAGCTGGCCTTACATGGATGAAAATTTGGCTGGTTCAGCAGAGACTAGAAGAATTTTGATCCATGTATGGGAAAGGAGGTTGCACAGAGGTTGATCTACCAACTGACTTCTGTAAAACCACCCTGTTGGATTTTTCTTGCTCGATTAGGCCTGCTAGCTATAGCTGATCAGTGTATTCTGACAGCGGGGAAGTCTCTCTGCTGTTAAAATACAATAGTTTAGCAAGCAGTATTCCCCCATCTACAATGAGTGTGTGGAAGGAGGCATCAAGTTAGTTTTTTTCATTCAACCCGCTGGCTGAATTAAAAAAAAATTACTCATCTATGGGCTGCTTAAGGCTGGGATGACAGATTTTCCTCAGTTAGTTTGGAACCTGAACACAGTGAGTGTCACCCTCTCATCCCACCTAGAATGACCCTAAGATTTAAGGTCAGGTTAGCAACATAAAAGACAGGAGTCTTCTGAGGTTGAGGGTGACCCTGTTGGGTAGAAACAAGCAACCTTCCATGAGCGCAGGTAGAGAACAACCTGTCTCCATGCCAGATGGCCAAGGTTTGCTCTCAATGCCAAGAGGGGTCCCAATCCTAGGTCCTCTGCAGGGTTTTAGAAAACATCTAAAAAGGTCAGCTGGCTCCACGTATAGTGCTCTCAGATATCTTCAAATTATTAGACAGTTTTGCTTTGGTTTTGGGTTGGAAGTTAATGAACATACATCTACTGTAGAGCCCTCAAAGTGTCGCTCCCTGAGCAAGAACTAAATAATTGGATCATGCTTTGCTGGTGGGTTTTTTTTTTTTTTGCCTTCCTCTGGATCAACTGTGGGTATAGGATTATAATTTTTTTTTCTTCCCTTTTATAGTTGAACTAGATGGACCTGTGTCTTTTTCCAGCCAGAAAAACTATGTAACAATGTAAGATGTAAGCTTGAAGCACAAGCTCATTGACGGCAATCTAGACAGCAAGTGGCAGATCCCCACACAGAGCACAGTGACTGTAGTCCTTGGGAGGGACTCTGTTAGTTTGTGAGTTCTTATTTGGGTTCCTTACCCTGTGGGATTTGTCACACCCATGATTTTTAAGATAGTGTCTTTTAAACTGAACTGCTTCTCCATTCTGTACAGTGGGTTGATTTACTAATGGAGAAGAACATGTTCACTTTGCATTTTTTCATCTTGAAAGTTTACTTTGCTTAGTGAATAAAGTAGAGTTCTACTGCCTTCAATTATCCAATCATGTGCAAGCAAAAATCTGTTTTTTTAAATTTCCCTTGCACGCGATTGGCCATTCTTTGCAAAGTGAACAAGCTCTATTGTCTTACGTTTTATGTATTTCAAGATAACAACCATGTCAGCCTAAAACATTAATACAAGGATATTAAATAAGAGGATCTAATAAAAGTCAAAATTGAGTTTCCTTCTCTTACATTTAGCACATGGTAGGTTTAAAGCATATGACTAGTGTCAGGAAAAACTGACCTGCCTTAATAGCTCAGGACTTAACCAAGGCAGCATTGCAGTGCTAAAATTAGGAAAATCATATGCCACCTTAGCTCTTTCACCACTTCGGACCATACTGTAGAGATGACCAAGCCCAGAAAGAGAAACAAAACCTTCATCTGAGATCAGGATATGGCTGCCTTTCACGCTCCTAAAACACAAATGAATGCAAATTATTTTTGAAGCATTTTAAAACAGTCCTTTTAAATTGAAGCAAAAGGCAATTTCAGCTAGCACTAATGAACTAACCTAATTTGGAAACACAAGTTTCAAACAGATACTCCGAATATAAAAATCACTAAGGGCCGGTTCACACCATGCTCGAACTGAATCGCACAGGAGCGCACCGTGCATTCCTGTGCAATGCAAACTGCATGCAAAATGCACTACATTTGCAATCTGCTGCAGGTGTCAATAAAAAGTTAATGACACTGCAAAAACACAGGTCGTAAATGCAGTGTGTTTGCCCGCACCAGCTCACATGCTACTTTTGTACTATGCAATCCGGTTGCAGAGCGTTTTAAAAGTAGTGCATGCACTACTTTATTTGCAGTGCGATTTCACCCATTTAAAATGAATGGGCTGAAATGGAACTGCACAGGACTGCATGTGAATTGCACAGGAACACACAGCACACTCCTGTGCGATTCAGATGCGGCCATGCTGTAAACCGGTCCTAAATCCAAATACATATCTGTTAAAAAGTTATACCATTTGTTTTTAAATTAGCATACCCGAACATCTTAATATACGAATATAGTTATCCCCTTTACAACAGGATCTAGATGACTGGGATAGGAAGGGGAATGCATTGTAAGCAAATCAGATGTATGAATAGCATGCAGGTCCAGAGGAGGACTGACAACTCATGGGGCCCCCGGCAATAGAGGATCATGGGGCCCCTGTGTCCTTGCCCACACTCAAAGCACACCCAAAAAAAACCTATAAAAAGGTACCAGGGGCATATCATGGGGCCCCCTACTGACCCCGGGCTCTCGGGCAGTCCGCCCCTGTGCAGGTCACTGAAAAACTGGGGACTTGAGCTGAACAGAGGACAAAGAGTGATGACCACTTTCTTTGCCTAATCATACGCAAGGATAGGTCCTTCATGAAGCCATGTTGCTTAAGAGCAGAGTAATCTGGAGAGAGGTTTCAGACCTGGCTCTATTGTGTGACAAGGGTGACTAGATCACAAAAGTGTTCTGCAGCATCAGATCTGTACTACCACTGGTAAAACCCAAAAAAGTATTATTTTAAAACATAATATAAAATCTACAGAGCCCTCATTCTTGAGGGTAGGGAAGTCTGTAATCTAGGGTGAGAAGGAAATGTAGTGTCCTCTACATTGCCCACAGTCTAGTGGGAGGAGATAGCCTAGTATGTAGCCTATACAGTCCAAATACAGGAGGCGAATGAGACCTCCTTTGTAACTTAGACCATTCATAGTCTAGTGAAAGAAGGAAGCCTTGTATGCAGCTTTACAGAGCTAACATTCTGTGGCAGCATGAGGCGTTGGGGGAAATTTATTGAAAGTGTAGCGTGCAAAATCCCGTGCAGCTCTGCTTAGAAACCAATGAGCTTCCAGGTTTTAGGCTCGGTTCACACTGTGCAGTCTGGCTGAATGTGTGGGAACCACATTGGTTCCCGCACCCGCAACCACATGCAGCCAAATCGCACTGCTCTTAGGAGACGCACAGGGCTGCCATTCATTCTAGATGGCACCTCCACACATTTTGGTTTGCAGTGCAATTGCGGACGCAGGAACCACATGGTCAAAAAGACCATGCAGTTTCCATGTAGCCGAGTTTTCAGAAAGGTGCATGCACCTTTTTTGTGCAGAAACGTGGGCACAGCAGCCCATTCAAATGAATGGGCTGCCGTGCTCAAGCAGAAGAGGACAGCATGGTCAAAGCTTAATTGAACAAGCTGAAAGTAGAAGCTGATTGGCTACCATACACAGCTGTATCAGATTCTGAGTGCTCAGGTTTATTAAATCTCGACCCATTGTATGCAGCTTTAAGCTAGGTTCACATATGTGCGGGTGGTGCAAAAATCCGTGCACCCGCACCACCCGTATAGAGGAATGCGGACCCCGCGCGGGCGGGTGCCATTAGTTCTAATGGCACGCCACCCACACTGGAAAACACAACTGTACTGGGAACTGAGGTTCCCGTGTGGGCTGCGGGCTGCATTTTCAGAAGAAGTGCAGGGACTTCTTCCTTGCGTGTCACGCGGCCTGCACGGCTCATATATGCGAACCAGGGGTTAGGGATCCCACACTTTATTGGAAAATGAGCAGGTGTAAGTAACCTTTCAGAGACCACAGTTTAGCATTATGAACAAGTCATAGCATCTATAGCCTATAGGAAAGACATTGTATATTTTCCTTCAGCGGAATAAACTGAGCTTTGCATGCTGTACTGCTCTGCATAGTCTAGTACTGGAAAATACTCACTTTTCCTTCGTTTTTGCACTGCTCTGTCCAGCCGCTGGGGAGTGCTCTTGGGAAAGAGAGCAGGTAGAAGCAAGGAAATCTCCCTAAAAGGTCCAATTCAAGGGAACCCTGATATACAATAATATCTATATTGCAAAACTTCACCAGTCTGCTGTGCCCTGCTCATCTCATCCTTTGGAAGAAAATGAGAATAGGGGAGTTCCCATTACTGGCTTGTTTTTAAGGATGCAAGCTCCAGGGCTGTCATTTTGATGCTGACTTTACTACTGAGCAACAACAACCTGTAATAAGCAGGATGGGAGCTCAGACTTTTCAGGCATCACTAGTTGCATACATGTTCCAGACCTGACACTAATAAGGCAGTAAAGCCAGGAGCGTGGTGATCAGCATGTTTAATCTAACACTTTAACATTTTGTAGCTGAAGGCCAGAGTGAGATGACAGATCTTTAACAGAATTTGAAAACATATAACAAATGCAAATATTTTCATTTCTGGTTATACTATGGCTAGATCTACCACTCTAGCCATTCAATATGACTTTTGTGACAGTAAGGTGCCAATCAGCAGCAGAAGTTTTTTTAGCCACAAATGTAGGATGATTATTAGTAGATTAGGTCTTAGGCTGGTTCACACCAGATGCAGTCCAGTACATCAAAAACACATGGACAGTAGGTTATATGGGTTCCAATGGGTTAGTTCACACCAGTACTGTTAGTTCCAGTACAGAACAACAAAAAGTAGACCATGTAGCACCTAAATGCACCAAAATGCGCATGATCCTGTTTAAGAGGAGGAAAAAAAGAGGGGAAAAAAACACATCAGAACGCATTAATAACGCATGTAGGAACGCATCCGGACTGCGTTTCTATGATGTGAACCAGCCCTAAAAAAACCTAATCTGATATAATATCTGAAATGTTTGCCCAGAAACTTTTACAAAGATACTCTGAAACAGATATATTATAAATAATATAATATAGGAATGCTTTTTCCTCCTACCTGTGAATATATCCATTTTGGTGCAAATAATGTAATCCTTGTAGTGTTTCATACAAAATGTTTCCTATTAAAGCTTCATTCATTCCTTCAGGATAATAGCTCTTCATGAGGCTGCTAGCAGACCCTATACAGGAAAGGTGTAAAAACAAATCAGTCTACTTTTGGTGAATACCAGTGGTTCACTTCACTCAGACTTTAATACTTCACAAGGAGTCATACTGGTGAGATATTTATAGCTGAGTTTCCAGGACTGTCCATTTAACACAGCAAGAACAACCCTCCAAAGAACTATTGTCACAATTTGCCAAATAGCAACCCTGATTTCAGTTTTGCGTCGTTTAAAAGTTCCTTAAGAGTGGCCGGTTTGCCTCTTGAACTTTTTAACTTAAATTACATTATACAAAATACAGATTCAAGAGAATGAAGAGAAAACTCCATTAAAGAAGTATAAATTCCTTCTCAAAACATTGTGAAACTCATGTACTTACACACACCTTTCAAGACATATCTATAGAGACCTGTATTGGTATTGTAAAAAAACACATTGTTCATGTTGAATGCTGATTGGACTTTGAAATATGCTTTAATAACAATAATACATGTTATTACAATGCATTTGTATACATTATTAAATTCAATACACAGAGTTGTAAACCAGAAGGCTGGCTTCACACATATGCACTTCTACCTTCATGTTTTATTTTGATGTGTTTTGCAATGTACATTGTCATGCATTTTCATTTTGCCAAGCATCTAGAGCAGGGGTCTTGAATTAAAATTTACAGATGTCCGGTCAGCAAAAGTTCCTTCCAGCAGAGGTCCGAATCTCGTTAGCAATATAATACATCACAGTCCTCCGGTACATTATGATCTTTATCGTACCTTGCACACTGTAGTCCCTGCTACATCACAGTACCCTCTTTAAAGAAGTCCCACAGTGTCCTCTTTTCCCTTCAAATCACTTCCCCCCCTTTACATCACAGCGCTCCTTAAACACAGCATCTTCTAACACAACACAGCACCCCTTAACACAACACAGCGCCCTTTAAACAACACAGCACCCCTAACACAACACAGCGCCCCTAACACAACACAGCGCCCCTAACACAACACACAGCCCCCCTAACACAACACAGCAGCACCCCTAACACAACACAGCACCCCTAACACAACAACACAGCACCCCTAACACAAACAGAAAATATATAGCAAAGACGGGATGTCTCTTTGCAGGACAAGGATGTTTCTTTGCTGCATGGGGATGTCCCTTCTTGGACTGGGCTGTCTCTTTGCTGGATTGGGATGTCTCTTTGCTAGACCCAACTGGGCAAAGAGTCAGCCCAGTCCAGCAAAGAGACAGCCCATCCAGCAACGACACAGCCCCTCCAGCAACGAGACAGCCCCTCCAGCAAAGAGACAGACTCCAGCAAAAAGAGAGCCCCTTCAGCAAAGAGACAGCCCCGTCCAGCAAAGAGACAGCCCGACCAGCAAAGAGACAGTCCAGCAAAGAGACAGCCCGTCCAGCAAAGAGACAGCCCAATCGACCATCGCTACACAGCTGTCACAGTGTGCCGGCGGGTGAAGAAGAGAGGCCACCATTCTCCTTTCAGTGCAGTGGCTGTCTCTGTGTCAGCGGCGCTTCCTGCTTGTCATTTGGAGCCGTCACTGCTGCTCCTCCTCCTGGCAGCCCTGCTCTAGGCATAGCCGCACAGCGGGAGGTGAACGGCGGCCACGGTCTGTATTAGCCCTGTCCAGACTGCAGTCACCGCTTACCTCCCGCTGTGCGGCCCCGGTCATCTTAAGCCCAGCAGCCCCGCCCACCCGGCAAATGCCCGATGTACTCTATGGCCAGTCTGGGCCTGGGCCTAAGGGAGGGCTCCCAGCGGTGGTGTGCCTGCAGTCCGGACGGGACTGTCCCTCGGTCCGCCATTTAGTGACCATTGATCTAGAGAGATGTGAGAAGAGCCTGCCATTTTTCAAATGTAGATAAGCCAAGGGCAGATCTCAGATCTCCCATACATTTGCAGCGTATGAAAACACATGGATCTTGTGTTTTCATGTGCTCCCAACTGACTCCAATGGGCCCCTTGATGCATATCAATGGATAAAAGAATGAAGCTAAACTTTTTTCTATGATGCACCACAGGAAAATGCATATACAGTATTTTACCCAGACTCACTGAACACAATGGGATGCAAAGTAACACAAGTTTAGGCTCCATGCAAACTGCCTTAAAAAAACACTGCTTCTAAAGGAGTTTAGCAGGACTGAGCTGAAGCAACTAATGTTATCCTGGGATTCTATGCACATTAGTAGGCATTTTGTAAGCTCAGCATTTAGAGACAGAAAAAAAAAAAGTATGTGGCAGATAAAAAACATTAAACGTTCAAAATTTGTGTTTTTTTTTTTTTTCTGCTAAGAGCACTGGCAATTTTTTTTTTAAGCCATAGGTGTGAACAAGGCTTAAAGCCATACCGGGCAAAAAATTCTACTGTTAAAGTGGTTATAAAGCCTAACCATTTTTTACCTTAATGCAAAAGGTAAAAAATGTTTCGGCATCAGTGTCCTCCTTCACCCCTCTTTTACTTACCTGAGCCCTTATGCAATCCAGCGCTGTGCATGTCTACTGCTCTTCTATCCTCTCACTTCCAGGTCTCACTGGCTTTGCTGGGGCACTGTAAGCCATTGGCTCCCGCTACTGCCAATCAAAGCCAGGGACGATGTAGTGGGGGGTGGGGCAAAGGAGTGAGCACGAACAGGTGCCCCCATGGGAAGCAGCTTCCTATCAACAGAAAGGAAGAGCCAGGAGCTCCACTGGGGGACCCGAGAAGAGGAAGTTTGGGGCTGCCCTGTGCAATTCCATGGCACAGAGCAGGTAAGTATAGCCATGTTTATTACTTTTTTTTTTTAATTACCTTCATAACCACTTTAAATCTACCCTTACACAGTACTCATAACTGGAAAGTTATATAAAGTATATATATATATATAAAGAATCATACTGCAATGTTATGAAGGAATCCAGTAATCACTCACCATATGCCATGAAAGGGTTAATAACCCAAAGCCAGGTCCCCACAGTAAACATCTTCCAGGAAAGCAAAATGTTAGGATGCCGAAAAAAAATGAAGACATAGCCACTTCATTCTGAAGGAATATAAGTTATACTTCATTTAAGTACATTATTACAAACAAAGTAGACTACTGTATGTAAAATTCTATGATTCAAGAAATGTAAGGAGCACTCCTCTATAAGTATTCAGTTCCAATAAGATGCAGATTGATGAGTGGACCTGCTGTGTGAAATAATAGTTCCCAGTATCTGCGTAATGTGAAGATTTGTTGTCTTCTTTTCTTGTCTAAGGACTATAAGTGAATGCAGCAACTACCTGTTACATTATATGTCCACACTCTGCTTTTAACTGGAGCCCTTCTAACAGCCTAAAGGGCTTGTTCACATGTATGTCAATACCCTGTGCTTATGTGGCATTTTTTCAGAATTCTTAAAGCCTCACATCCGCCCTTCAAAACCTGCTATAAATATTACAATGGCAGCAGACAGTGCTGTTCACACAGGAGCAGTAGAGTAATGTTGTGTTACAAATGAAGCAGCAAATGGGGCATCGACCCTTGTCAGCCGCCTACAATGATTTCAATGGCAATGCTCTGTAACCGCATCATAAAGTAGAACTTTACCCTTATCAGCTTCATAAAAAATTGTATTCTTCTGCAAGGAGTATACATTCCACATTATTCATGATACTACAAAAATTAGTGTGTGCTCTAAATTGCCTCTAGCATTGTTACTGTTTCATCTTGCTGGAGGTTGTCATTTTGCTAAAGCCCAGAGCCCCTGAGAAGCAGTAAATCTTACATACAGTGTATTACTGGATTTTAACCACTTGCCCTCCAGAGGATTTACCCCCCTTCCTGACCAGGCCCATTTTTTGCGATATGATGCTGCGTTACTTTAACTGACAATTGCGCAGTCATGCAAAGCTGTAAATAAATGAAATTATTGTCTTTTTGTCCCCACAAACAGAGCTTTCATTCAGTGGTATTTGATCACCTCTGAGGTTTTTATTTTCTGTGCTATAAACAAAAAAAAACTGACAAGTTAAAAAAAATATATTTTTGACTTATTGCTATAAAACATACCCAGTAAATATTTTTAAAAATCAAATTTCATCATAAATTTAGGCAAAAATGTATTCTGCTACATGTCCTTGCTAAAAAAAAATCCTAATACTTGTAAATTAATTGGTTTATGTGAAAGTTATAGCATTTTAAAATGGCAGTATATATACTGGAATTTTTATTTTTATTATACTAGTAATAGCTGCAATCAGTGACTTATAGCGGGACTGCAGCAGGCATTCTGACACTGAGTGGGAACTGACTAACTGCCACTGACATCCCAATGATGCTAATACAGTGATCGGTTCTAATAAAAAGCACTGACAGTGTACTAATGACACTGGGCAAGAAGGGGTTAACATCTGGGGCAATGAAAGGGTTCACTGTGAGCTGTTTTACATTATGTGCTGTGTGTTTTACTAGGGAGACATGTTGCTTTGTATTTCTCTGTTGTGCAGAGAAATACAAAGCAGCACGTCCTTGCTGGCAGGAGACCAGTGTTGTTTACACACAGGTATCTCCCCTGTCAGCTTTCCCTGACGATAGTTGGGTGCCAGTGATTGACATCCCTACTCAGAAATGCAAATCACGCATATATATGGAATTTTGCACAGCCCTGCTGCCCTGTAGCAGTAGTTTTATTATAGGGCGACAGGAAAGCGGTTAACTACCTGCCTACCAAGCACTTCTACCCCCTTCCTGCTCAGGCCAATTTTCAGCTTTCAGTGCTGTCGCACTTTGAATGACGGTCATGCAACATTGTACCCATATGACATTTTTATCATTGCTTTCACATAAATAGAGTTTTTGTTGTTTGTGTGCGCTAAAAACAAAACAAAATAAAAAAAAGAGCAAAAAAAAAAAGGTTTTTTTTCTTTCTATTATAAAACTTTGCAAACAGGTAATTTTTTTCCTTCACTGATGTGTGTTGATGAGGCTGCACTGATAGGCAGCACTGGTGGGCACTGATGAGGTGGTAGGAATAGGCAGCACTGATGGGCACTGATAGGCGGCATTGATAGGTGGCACTGATGATGTTGCAGTGATAGGCGGCACTGCTGGGCAGCACCGACTGATGGCACTGCAGGGCACTGACTAGCGGCACTGCTGGGTGGCACTGTTGGGCACAGGTGGGTGGCACTGCAGGGCACAGGTGGGTGGCACTGATAGGCAAAGGGTGGGCAGCACTGATGGGCACTGATGATCAGTGCCCTGATGATCAGTGCCAATCCCTTCGCTGACAATTGCCGGTTCTCGGCAGTACTTTCCTCACGATATGACAATGTGGTAGGTAAGTCAGTGTACAAAGATCAGTAGTAGGTAGGTCCAATGCACAGTGGTCAGTAATATGTAAGGCTGTGTACAGAGGTCAGTATTTTGTAGATTGGTGTACAAAGGTCAGTAGTATGTAGGGTAGTGTACAGAGATCAGTAGGATGTAGGCAGTGTACAGAGATCAGTAGGATGTAGGGCAGTGTACAGAGGTCGGTAGGCTGTAGGGCAGTGTACAGAGGTCGGTAGGATGTAGGGCAGTGTACAGAGGTCGGTAGGCTGTAGGGCAGTGTACAGAGGTCGGTAGGATGTAGGGCAGTGTACAGAGAGGTCGGTAGGATGTAGGGCAGTGTACAGAGGTCAGTAGGATGTAGGGCAGTGTACAGAGGTCAGTATTTTGTAGATTGGTGTACAAAGGTCAGTAGTATGTAAGGCAGTGTACAGAGATCAGTCAGTAGAATGTAGGGCAGTGTACAGAGGTCAGTAGGATGTAGGGTAGTGTACAGAGGTCAGTAGGATGTAGGACAGTGTACAGAGGTCAGTAGGATGTAGGACAGTGTACAGAGGTCAGTAGGATGTAGGGCAGTATACAGAGGTCAGTAGGATGTAGGGCAGTGTACAGAGGTCAGTAGTTTTTGTAAATTCGGTGTACAAAGGTCAGTATTGTGTAGGGCAGAGTACAGAGGTCAGTAGAATGTAGGGCAGTGTACAGAGATCAGTAGGATGTAGGGCAGTGTACAGAGGTCGATAGGATGTAGGGCAGTGTGTAGAGGTCAGTAGGATGTAGGGCAGTGTACAGAGGTGGGTAGGATGTAGCGCAGTGTACAGAGGTCGGTAGGATGTATGTAGGGCAGTGTACAGAGGTCGGTAGGATGTAGGGCAGTGTACAGAGGTCGGTAGGATGTAGGGCAGTGTACAGAGGTCAGTATTTTGTAGATTGGTGTACAAAGGTCAGTATTGTGTAGGGCAAAGTACAGAGGTCAGTAGAATGTAGGGCAGTGTACAGAGATCAGTAGGATGTAGGGCAGTGTACAGAGGTCGGAAGGATGTAGGGCAGTGTACAGAGGTCAGTAGGATGTAGGGCAGTGTACAGAGGTCAGTAGGATGTAGGGCAGTGTACAGAGGTCGGTAGGATGTAGGGCAGTGTACAGAGGTCAGTAGGAGGAGTGTACAGAGGTCAGTAGGATGTAGGGCATTGTACAGAGGTCAGTAGGATGTAGGGCAGTGTACAGAGGTCAGTAGGATGTAGGGCAGTGTACAGAGGTCAGTAGGTATGTAGGGCAGTGTACAGAGGTCGGTAGGATGTAGGGCAGTGTACAGAGGTCAGTAGGATGTAGGGCAGTGTACAGAGGTCAGTATTTTGTAGATTGGTGTAGTGTAAAGGTAAGTAGTAAGTAGGACAGTGTACAGAGGTCAGTAGGATGTAGGGCAGTGTACAGAGGTCAGTAGTATGTAGGGCAGTGTACAGAGGTCAGTAGGATGTAGGGCAATGTACAGAGGTCAGTAGAATGTAGGGCAGTGTACAGAGGTCAGTAGGATGTAGGGCAGTGTACAGAGGTCAGTAGTATGTAGGGCAGTGTACAGAGGTCAGTAGTATGTAGGGCAGTGTACAGAGGTCAGTAGGATGTAGGGCAGTGTACAGTGGTCAGTAGGATGTAGGGCAGTGTACAGAGGTCAGTAGGATGTAGGGCAGTGTACAGAGGTCAGTAGGATGTAGGACAGTGTACAGAGGTCAGTAGGATGTAGGGCAATGTACAGAGGTCAGTAGAATGTAGGGCAGTGTACAGCGGTCAGTAGGATGTAGGGCAGTGTACAGAGGTCAGCAGTATGTAGGGCAGTGTACAGAGGTCAGTAGGATGTAGGGCAGTGTACAGAGGTCAGTAGGATGTAGGGCAGTGTACAGAGGTCAGTAGGATGTAGGGCAGTGTACAGAGGTCAGTAGGATGTAGGGCAGTGTACAGAGGTCAGTAGGATGTAGGGTAGTGTACAGAGGTCAGTAGGATGTAGGACAGTGTACAGAGGTCAGTAGGATGTAGGGCAATGCACAGTGGTCAGTAATATGTAAAGCAGTGTACAGAGGTCAGTATTGTGTAGATTGGTGTACAAGGTCAGTAGTATGTAGGGCAGTGTACAGAGATCAGTAGGATGTAGGGCAGTGTACAGAGGTCGGTAGGATGTAGGGCAGTGTACAGAGGTCGGTAGGATGTAGGGCAGTGTACAGAGGTCAGTAGGATGTAGGGCAGTGTACAGAGGTCAGTAGGATGTAGGGCAGTGTACAGAGGTCAGTATTTTGTAGATTGGTGTACAAAGGTCAGTAGTATGTAGGGCAGTGTACAGAGGTCAGTAGGAATGTAGGGCAGTGTACAGAGGTCAGTAGGATGTAGGACAGTGTACAGAGGTCAGTAGGATGTAGGGCAGTGTACAGAGGTCAGTAAGATGTAGGGCAGTGTACAGAGGTCAGTAGTTTGTACATTCGGTGTACAAAGGTCAGTATTGTGTAGGGCAGTGTACAGAGGTCAGTAGATGTAGGGCAGTGTACAGAGATCAGTAGGATGTAGGGCAGTGTACAGAGGTCGGTAGGATGTAGGGCAGTGTACAGAGGTCGGTAGGATGTAGGGCAGTGTACAGAGGTCGGTAGGATGTAGGGCAGTGTACAGAGGTCGGTAGGATGTAGGGCAGTGTACAGAGGTCAGTAGGATGTAGGGCAGTGTACAGAGGTCAGTAGGATGTAGGGCAGTG